ACTTGTGCACTTTTTTTTTGCCTTTTCCCCTTGTTTTCTTCTTCTTCTTCTTCTTTACTAGGTAAAAAGTAAGCCAACAACAAGTAAAAAAGAAAAAGGAAAGATCCACTCCTTCTCTCTCTCTCTCTCTCTGTGGGATGCAGCCTTGCAGTGGCTGTCGATTAACCGGCAGCACCGCGGCGCTGTTGCCTGAGGGGAAAAAAAAGAAAAGCCCCGCGGTGTTCGTCACGGCGCTGCTGCTCACACTACTTCTCTCCGACACCTCGCAGGAACACGGCGGGGCGATCAGCACAGATCTCACGAGTTGCCGCAGTCCATCACTGCTGCAGCAACTCGCCTCCTTCGCGGCGCTGCGGGAAGTGGCGGAGGAGGAGCAGTTGGATTGGGGCGCGCCACTCGTGCTCGGGCGGCAGAAACGCTACAGTCTATGCGTACAGCCAAGCAACAGCGAATATCAACATCAAGATCAACAAGAAAAAGAAAAAGAAAGAAAGAAGGAAGAAGAAGAAGGAGAAGAATTGGAGAGAGTCTCGGATGAATGTACAAGCGACTCCGCCACGGGATCATCGCGTCGACGGCCACATCGTCGTCAACATCGGCGAAAGAAATCTGCCCAACAACAGGGATGTGATGAGCATGAGAACAATCATCATAATAAAGATAATGTTGTTTGCCAAGGCGATCAGAAGTATGAAGAGGATGGGATGAGAAGTCAGAAAACCATCAGTGGTTGCAGCACCAGTGCGAGTTGTGGAGAAAGCAGTGCGGGTTCACTGGAATGTGTGGAAACACCGCGTGGAAGTCGTTTTTCTCTCACAAATACACCCACTCTCTCTTCTCTTACGCAGTGTCTATGGTCGCAGCTGCATGTGATGGAGATTGCACTCAGCACACAAGATAACAATTTCCTGCACATCACACAACGATTCGTGCAGTATGAGGCGATGTATCCAATTGTCTACCGCACAGATATCAGTCGAGTAATGGCCCCGCAGGAGGAGGAACTTCTCGCAGCGCCGACAACAGGACTGCAGTCCTCACGTTTCTGGTCCTGTCGATCCTGCGGAAAGGCACATGATGTTGTGCGTGAGAGTTGTCTGCGGTGTCGACGGCATGCCGGGCCGTACACAAAACTATTTTTTGGCCAAACGATAAAAGAAGTGAATTGTGCTCGGAGTCTTTTGCGGCTTTTATACGCCACACATCCGGGAGTTGTGATTCATCGAATTGAGGCCCATGAGAATGAAGATGGACGTCATCGTGGTTGTGCATCTGTGTATGTATCTGTGGATGCCGCTTCGGAGTTGATATCTAAATTAAATGGAAATGTTTTCTTTGACTCCAACCGTATATTTCCCTCTTCTTCTTCTTCTAATGATGATAATAATATTAATATGGATGGATTGTATGTGGATTATGTATACACATCTCAACGGCCGTGGCTGGAGGCACTCATTGCTGCCAGAACTTCACAGCGGCATCATAATAACACTATGCCGTGGGGTGCACTCGTGGTGGAGGAATCAAAAGGAAAGGCGCACAGCACAACAACACCATCAATAAAAATAAAAAAAAACATCAAAAACAACAAATCATTATGAAGGAAAGAAAACAAAATCAACTCAACATGCGTCCCCGTCCAATTCGTACTGAAATATAGGCAAAATTGTAATAAAAAAAAAATAAGTAATGGGACTAATATTTGCAATCGTCGTCGTCGTAGTAGTAATAGAAGTAGTAGAAGTACTAAACGGTAGAAGTGGAGGGTCTATCTATTAGACCATTTGGGGAGGAAACGGAGAAACGAAAAGGATTTTTTTTTTTAATTTCTGTTCTTTTATTATTATTATTATTATTATTATTATATTGGGATCTCCTTTTTTGTAGCTATTTGTGATAGAATGCGTACATTGCTTTCCACTGTGATGTTTCTAGTTATTTTGTACGTATGAATAAACTTACGGCTTATTCTCCTTTCTTTTGAAAGGAAGAAAAAAAAAAAAAAAAGGAAATTATTGGGCTTTTTTTTCTTTTAATGTATCTTTTCTTTTTTTTTTTTCCTCTTCAATTTACGAAGAACAATTTTCTCTACGGCAGTGGCGCTATTTTTCTTTCTTTTTTTTTTTTTAAATTCCAAGCGCACAACGTACGCAAACAGAAACACACCAACACCCACACATATCTCCGGAGAGGAAGGTGTCTGTCTATATGAAATCAGTTTGAAATGTTACTGTATATGAAGTTGTGTTTATTGTAATGTAGATACTCTTTTCTTCTTTTCTTTCCCTTCTGTATATATATATATATATATATATAATTCATTTGTATAGGTGTACGTGAATCCAATTACGGAGATACGTGGTAGCGCAATGGCGGACGACCGCAATGAACTCGTTGAGAATGTGGTACGCATGCAGCTTTCAAGCCCGAACTTTGCAGAGTACTGTGTAGCACACGTCACTGATCCCAAACACCGATTTCTTTTTATAGATGACAACAACAACACAGAGAGACGTCTGTACGTTCGTCTATTGCAGGAACAACAACAACATGTAAACAAGAATAGCCATACAGCACCCCTGCAGACGGCAGGGGGTTTATTGGCAGATCAGAATAATAATAATAATAATAATAATAATAATAATAATAATAATAATAAAACTGCCATGTTGTGGTCATCGTTACTTGATTACTTCGCATCGCCTAATGGCGTGCACGGTCCACACATGCCGCACATGTTCCGCAGCGAGCGGGATCTCACCGCCTTTCTGGAGATGCTGCAGCTCGTTGAACACAGTCCCGACTGCAGAGAGCGGGTCGTGCAGTACATGATGCAGCGACTGCCCATGACAGAGACATTTCTGTATACATTGTGGTATCTCTGCGATGCGCAGGTGCACACCGCGGGGAAATCAAAACAAATACGGAATGTGAAGGATATTCCTTTGGGCTCTAATAACCTTCCACCTACAAATAGCACCACCGCTGACACGAGTGAATTACCCAATCCTCATACAAATAATAATAATAATAATAATAATAATAATAATAATAATAATAATTCCTGTGGAAGTACAGCCACGACCGGTGATGATAAGGCGCTGCAGTCGGCGGCGACGTTTTTATTTCTGGCGAATGCGCTGCTGCTCGAGCACGAGGCGGTGGAGCGGCCGGGGCGATATCGGGCCGTATTTAATGCGTACATCCCCCGCATGGTCGAACTTCTCGCCGGCACCGCCCCGCGGTCATCGCAGGTGGCGCTTTATGTGCAGAAGGCCGTCAACGTGTGGGCCATAGACGGCACCTTCACCGGCGACACCCTGCAGCGCATGCAAACAGCCGTGGGATAGCCAGGAGAGAGAGAGAGAGAGAGAGAGAGAGAGAGAGATACGTAACACACATACACCTCTATATATATATATATATATTCCTTTTTTCTCTCTTTGTTTATGTTTCTCTGTGTGCTTGTGCTTGTGTTTGTATGCTATATTAGTATGTTGGGGAGGAATGTCTTCTTCACATCATTGCTGGAATGCCATATATATATATATATATATATATCTTTTCTTTCGCATTGAGTATTTCCAATCGAAAAAAAAAGCAGATGGAAAAGGGCGAACGAAAACAAAACAAAACTTGGAAAATACAAAAGAAGCAAAGACAAAATGGAAAAAAAAAAAGGAAAAGAAACTAAAAAATAAAGAAAAAACAAAGCAAACTAAAAAATACAAGGGTGCCAAGGAACACGAAGAGAAGCAAAAAAAATAATAAAAATAAAAAAATACTGCGCTTGTTCATACATATATATACATAGATGCACTTAAAGAGATAGGAGAGAAGAAAAAGAGGAAAAAAACGAAAAATAATTCCTCCTTTTCTTTTTCATGCGTGAATGATATGTTTACCCTCGTCAATTTTTTTTTTTATGGTTTCTTTTTTCTTTTTTTTTTCTCTCTTTATCCTTCTTACCTCCTTTATTGATCTTGTTTCTCTTACAATTGGGGCAGAAGTATTTGTATATAATTTCTCTGCTTCCCTCATACTTAACAATATCTGTGTTTTCTTTCTTTTTTTTTTTCTTTGTTGATTATTTCTTTGCATATTTTGATTGGTTCTATTACATCTTTTTTTTTTTCTTTTTTCATCGCTCTTTTCATATGAATTCCCTCAAAAAAAAAAAAAAATAGTGAGAGTTAAGGTGAGAGTGTGTGTGGGTGAAGAAAAAAAATCTTTACTTTGAGTAAGAAAAAAAAAATAAAGTTAAAATAAGAGAAAAGAACGAAGAATTAATAATAAAAAGAAAACCGCAGAATAAACACAAGCTAAGGGGAGACAGAAAACTAAAAACCAAAAAAAAAAAGAAAAAGAAAGAAAGAGTATACATTGACAATAAAAAAAAAGTGGGTAATTGATATTTCATCACGCATCGTCAACACCGACATCTGCGCTTTTCTCTAGCATCCCGCTGTTGCTCTTGTTACTGCTGGTCACGTTTGCCGTGCAGTGTATTGTATTCACATCGCTTCTTCACGTCTACACTTCCGTCAACTCTTTCTGTCGATAACACTGGAGTAGTTTTACCCGAAAAAAAGACTTCTACTACTACTACTACTACTACTAAAACCATGTCAGGAACTGGAGACTACTACTTTGACTCTTACAGTCACTATGGTATTCATATGGAAATGTTGAAAGATTATCATCGTACAACTTCCTACCGTGATGCTATTTGGCGTAATGCGTATCTTTTTAAAGATAAGGTTGTTCTCGATGTTGGCTGTGGTACTGGAATTCTCTCTATGTTTGCAGCAAAGGCTGGAGCTCGCAAAGTTATTGGTATTGACTGCAGCAGTGTGGCTGTTCAGGCACGGCAAATTGTGAAGGACAACGGCTTTGAAGATGTCATTACTATCATTCAGGGTAAAGTGGAAGATTTACAACTTGATGAAAAGGTGGATATCATTATTAGCGAGTGGATGGGTTACTTCTTGCTGTATGAATCTATGCTTAACACTGTTCTGTATGCCCGCGATAAGTGGGGCACACCGGATGTGAAATTATTCCCCGACGGTGCGAATATGTATGTGTGTGGGATCAGTGATGAACAATATAAACAAGAACGCTTTGATGTCTGGGATGATGTCCAGGGATTTGACTTCTCCTACTTTAAGCGTCTGAGTTACATTGAGCCGCTGATTGACACCGTGAGCCGTGAGCAAATTGCGACCAACACGGCCTCTCTCTTCTCCTTCGATATCAACACCGTGCGGGAGGAGGATCTCGCCTTCACGAGTGAATTCACACTCGCGGCCGCCCGCTCCGACTGCGTGGACGCCCTCTGCGTGCACTTCGACACGCCCTTCACCGCCGGCCACGAGGCTGTGGTGCTCAGCACAACGCCCCTCACCGCCCCCACGCACTGGCGGCAGACGGTGTTGTATCTGCACAACCCGCTGCGGATGAAGCGCGGCGAACAGGCGAAGTTCCGCATGTGTTGCCGCCCGAATGCGTGCAACCCACGCGATCTCGACATTGCACTTCACGTGGAGTTCGACGGTGAACTGCAGTCCAGCCACTACGACCAGGACTTTCGTCTGCGATGAGTAGATGGAAAGAGAGATTCTCTCTCTCTCTCTCTCTCTGTGTATGTGTGGATGGGTGGATGGATGGATGAGGCTTTTCGAAACGGCAGAAGAAGGGAAAAGAAAGAGGGGGGGGGGAAAAAAAGAGGAAGTTTACACTGGAACTAATTAATATATTTGAAGAATAGTCAAGAAGAGACAGAGAGAGAGAGAATAAAAAGAAAAAAAAGAAGAAGGAATAGGTGGATGATGATGATGATGGTCGTAGTGATGGTCATGATGACAAGAGAATGCATATTATATGATTTCTACCAGAACCCTATTACTTTTCATGTAGATCTATCTTTTTTTTTTGTTTACTTTTCTTTTCTTCTCTTCTTTAAGTTTAGTCTCATAGGGGTTAGACCTTTTTTTCTTTTTTTTTCCTTTTCTTTCAGTTGCTTTTGCATTTTTCTTTTTCTTTTTCTTTATGATTACGTCTGGAGTATGAAACAGCAAAACTATCAGTTGAACGGTACCATCTCAAGATTGGCGAATGGCACTGTTACCAGCAATAACTTCTCTACACAACAGCCAGTCAGTTCATCCAACCGGTACAGAACAACAACACGCGAAAGGCCGTTTTCACTTTCTTCTCCCACTCCAAGAACAGTCGTAGCCCATCAACAACAACAACAACAACAACAACAACAACAACAACAACAACGACCAAAAGAACGATGCATAAGAGGAACAACTGGAGTTTATACTAGTAATGGCAGCGGTAATGGCTCTGTTGCTGCTGCGGCGACAGCAATATTGAAATTGGCAGCTTCAGAAGAAGTACCAGGAAGTGTTCCTGTGTTGCCAAAGCCGCGTGAGGACCCCAATGACTTATTGCGTATTCGTCACCTCATGACGGGGAAAAATAATAATAATAATAATAATAGTACTAATAGTCATAATAATAGAAACAGTGGTCGTAGTAGTAGTAGTATTAGTAAAGTGAATGGTAACAATACGGGCAGCATAAATCACGGCTCTGGTCATGAACTGCACACTGAACCGGAGAAGGCCTCACGTCAGTTGCCTTCGCCCCGACATGCAAAACCAGTAACACAATTACAGAGTTCTCTGCGGTCAGCTTTAAGAATACGGCCGCCAGCGTTGCGTTCATCGTCTTGCAAAGATAGTGGGAGGGCAAAAGAAATGACTCAACAGAGAATAGAGAAGAATATTTTGCAGCGTAAAGAACAACGAAGACGTGAGTTATATGCATGGAATGAGGAGCTACGGCATCAGCATGAGAATAATAAGTCAGCAGATGCTGTATAAGTTAGTCTTTTTGTTCTTTTCTTTCTTTTTTTCTTTTTTTCTTCCGTGTACCATCGTGACTTTCCTTTCTTCTTTTTATTTTTATTACTTAGATTGGATGCTTAGTACCGTTTGCTGTTATGTTTTATTTCTGTTTTCTTTTCATTGGGAAAAAAAAACCTTTCTGGATGTATTATTTAATCATCCCCTTTTCCATTCTCAAAGATTCTATTTACCACAATTTTTTTTCTGATCCTATGAACCTAATACTTCTCTGCAGGAATTTATTTATATATATATACGTCTGTTTTTTTTTTTTTTTCAACTTTCACTTTGTTTCCCCCACCCTTACTCTCACTATACGATATGTGATGTCAAATACTTTAATGTATACTTGTGAATATCTGCGTTCAACAGATGGTAGTGTGAGACAAGAAAAAAAAAAAACAATAATAACAATAATTATTGTAGATTAGTTCTGGCCACAAATGAGTACCTCTCCATCACCACCAGCCACTACAACATCCAGTAGTTATTTTGACATGCTGGTTAACAGCGATCCTCGTATTGCCTTTGATACTTTACACTTTGGAGTACTTTGCGCAGTGGCGGAAATGGAGCACGATCCACGTCCGCAGCAACTGCAGTCTGCGCGGAAGGCACTCATCACCGGCGACGGCCCAAACGCCCGCTTTGTTATTCCCACACATCAGACGACATTAGACGCCCGACTGCCGCAGCCGCAAGATGTGGACGCTCTGGAGGCTTATTTAGATGCCACTTCTTCACATGAGGCGCTGCAGCACGTGTTGGGGCCGGCGGTGCTGCACGCCGTGCAGAAGTACCGTCCGCAAGTCACGCAGGCGCAGCGGGGACGGCGGAGACGGCAGCGACAAACACCATCACATCAACAACAACAACAACAACACAGTGAGAGAGATGAGACGGCAACAGATGCCGCTACTGCTGGTGTTACTACAGGAACTGGTACTGAGGCCGCTACGGAGATCCATGTTCAAACTGAATATGATGACGAAGAGGATAGTGATGATGTGGATAGTGATGATACCGATGCAGGTACTGAAGATGAGGGTGATAGTGATAGTGATGATGATAGTGATGCTGGTACTGAGGATGATGAGGATAATGACCACGATGATGAAGAAGAAGAGTATTAGGTAATTGAAAGTATATTAAGATTTCATTAAGAACATTATTTGTAACCGTAAATCTGTGCCAGAAGGACTATAGAGCGAGAAATGAAAAAAACTACATTGTTTTTTTTTTTCATATTTATTTCACTTTACTCATGTATGAGTTGACTTACCTATTGAGGTACAAAACGGATCACCAATATCAGGCATAGTAACACCGTTTTTTTTTTTT